AGACGTAAACTCCCTTCATTTAATCCACACTTGTGTTTCATAATGCTGCAACGTTCTGACATTCTGTGATGGATTTGAGAAAGATGTTTTCATCATCTGTGAGATTGACTTCATGTTCTTGATGAGCTGTAGAGAGCTTAAGCTACATTCATGTTGACTCTGCATCTATTTTTACTCTTCTTTCTTGCCTTGAGAGTCTTTCTGCATGTATGGTGGGGTATATTTCCGCCCCTTTTCCTCGCCTGATTTCATGCCCTTTCCTTCTCGGGCATCTTGGCCATAATCCAAAAGTTTAATAGTCTTGTATCCAATAAATTAAAAAACAGGCTTCCCTGCACTTGACCCGCCATGAGCAAATGCCTTCCAAGGGCGTTAGAAAGCCGCTTAGTGGAAGCGGCTTCGGATCTTACGTAAGCAGAAGGCACCCCGTGCTTTTATAGTTTAGGGGGGGAAAAGAGAGAGAGAGAGAGAGAAAGAGAAAAAGGGGGAGGGCGAGTAATCAGGAAAGGCGAAGGAGAATTTGGCAGGAAGGAAAGAGAGGACAATGTTGAAAGAGTTCTTGTCCCACAGGAGTCGACTGTTCATTAACAAACTCTTCCTCACTAATCTCCCGCCAAACTTTTTTTTCCCCTCTTAACTTCTCACATGCGTGCCTATTTTTGGATAAACGTTCCTCGACTTTTTTCTCCTCTCGTCTTTCATTCATTCCCCTCCGATTTCCAGCAACGTGCGGAAGGTGATTGGGCAAATTGAATCGGAATATCCTCCCCACACACACACACACACACACCTCTACACATGAGTAGATATGACTAATGTCTTCATTAAGCTTTTAATTACTGTGAATACTCCCCATCACCTGCTGAAGCCCAGTAGAAACCCGTTTAGATTGTGTGTGAGTGCGGGGAGTTTGGGGGGGGGGGGCTCATCACTTCCCCTCTGCGCGGTCCTTGTCAACAGAGCCGATCAGTCTCCCACGCGTGTACGTCGGATGCTGGAAGCAGATTAGAGACACTGATACGCTGTGACTGATGTGAGTCTTCCACAACATGAGGGATGCTATTCATATTTGTGTGAGCAGGGGAGTTTTTCAAAGTAAAAGCCTTTTAGTGGTTCAGCCCACGTTTTGGAGTCGCTTATCTTTCTGTTGGTCGCTAGAACTGCAGAATTAGTCGATCTGTTTAAAGAAGTTGTTGAGTTTTATCATTCATAAGGAAAATGATAAGAAATGTCGCTAGCTTCTCATATGTGAGGATGATTCTATACTCCACATATTATTACTTAGAGCTACACAATTTCCTTGGGGGTTTATGATAACCGCAATATCGTACCACAGGCCAACACGAGGGGGAATGCAAGCCACAGCCATAACTCCTAAGTTCACTTTTTGTCTTAACTTCATCAGGCTGGATCTTCCTTTGTATTGTACCACAGTGTGTGTCATGGTGTCACGTCAAAGAGCGCTGTGTAAGGAAGCGTGAGCTGCGACTGACAGCTGCCGTACTGTTGCTGTATGTGCTGCTTTAATAAAAACGTCATGTAGATTATACTCGGATACATCTTCTGTAAACATATTCTATTCTTCAGGTCGGTTTCGCCTGTTCGTCTTCACTACAGTTCAACTCTGAGTTCGTTTTCAATGGGGGGGGGTGGCAGGTAGTAGCAGAGAGAATCACTCCCATGATTCCCCCGACAGCCACGACGTCATCTCTTGTTATTGTTTTGATTGAGAGCCCCCTGGTGGCGGAATTAACGTACTGTGCGTTGAAACAATACCTGATGTCTGAGAGCACTTCAATTTGGAAAATCTATTAATTTGTAGGTAAAGAAGATAAACAACTTCGGTTGTTTGAACTGCATGCCAAGCTGTTTGGTCATCCCTAATCACGTCACTTAGCAATGAATTGTTTAATTAAGAGGTGGACAAACCTAATGGAAAACTGGTGAAGTCATCGTTAACTTTTCAAGAAGGATGCAAAACCTTCTTGATTGAGATACAATATCTCTGGCTTGTCTTTATGTTTAAATTAATTTTTAAATATATATGATTGGCTTTAGTTGAAAAAGTAAAAGAAAATAATAATAATAATAACAGAGATGTTATTATTATCAGTAGTTCCAAACACTGGGCTCAGGACTAACCTGAATAACTGATGTGTTTTTATCTTTTGTTTTTCTAATAAACAATACAATAAACACTACTCATAGATTTACAATATGAGCCTAATATGCAGAGTTATTTTCTTTTTTCAAAGACTGCTGAGGCACAAAGTCAGCCTCTGGAATGACTGATAAAGAAAATATTCATCATTAGCATCCTCAGGCTCTGTAAGGAATCTGCAGCTGTTTGAACACCCGCCCTCCCCCCTCCCCTCCCCCTCCCCCTCCCTCCTCTCCTTCAGTCACACAGGTGCACCACAACATTCAGGCAGATGAGTCGAGGTGTATCTCCACCCTCCTGCTGCTCCCGCCGTCGATAGGGGAGGGCGAATGTCTCCCACACTGTCAAACTAGAGTCCCACACGCTCTCTGTAATGCAGAGGCTGCCGTCACTCTGTTCTCTGCCACACTGCGGATGTGTCAGTCATCGGGTGCTGGACTAAACTCATCAGAGCGAGCTGGTCCGCTGAGCAGCCGAGCATGAAGGGAGATAGCAGCACTGTGGCTTCACCTCCTCCTCCTCCTCCTCCTGCTGCTCTACCTCTGCTTTTAAGCCCTATGGCAATCAGGGAGGAAGAGCAAAAGAATCCAGTTACAATTAAAAAAAAAGAAAAAATGTAATACCATTTTGTCCATCTAGATACTGATGCTAATACCTGAATTCCACCTACAGTAAGGCTGTTTGGGTTATTCTTTTACAGCTGGTATGATTACTGTTAGGGCTGCCTGGTGGTGCAGTGGTTAGCGCTGTTGCCTCACAGTGAGGAAGTTCATGGAGCCTCTCTTTGTGGAGTTTGCATGTTCTCCCGGTTCTCTCCAGGTACTTGTTAGGTTAATTGGGACTCTAAATTGCTCGTAGGTGTGAGTGTGGCTGATTATCTGTCTCCATATGTCAGCCTTGTGATTGACTGGCGAACAATCCAGGGTGTAGCCCCACTTCTCGGCCGATGAGAGCTGGGATCGGCCCTTTGACCCCGAACGGGAAATTCGGTAAAGATGATGGATGGATGATTGCTTTTAATGTTCAGGTTAAAACTGAACATCGTATACATGCAAAGAATAATCACTATACAACTTTCTTTTTGTGAGACAGTGAGCAAAAAATGAACAAAAACCCAAATCAATCTACAAATAAATTTAAAAATAATCTATACTAAGAGGATTTCTTTGGACTCTTTTGTGTATAAAGAAAAACATTGACAAAAAATGTTTTAAAATGTACCTTCTTCATTCTTCTGTTTTAACTCAAAAGGTACAAAGTCGATTGCCTTTTTTGTTTTAGGCTCTTTTGTTTGATAAGCAGTTCCAACACGCTAAGCGCCACATAGTATCAAGGTTAGCTTGTCGATATTAGCAGCAACTTAGCTAGCTCACCCTGTTGCATGTGTTCCCCCATCTAAAAAGAAACATTTTATTTAGTTCGGCTCTGCTGTCGCTAACGTGGCAGTAACTGCTAAGCTAATACGATGCTTGTTTTTATTGGCTTCCCATTGGACGAAGCCTGAGTGATGTCACCCATCTGTTACTGCAGGGTGCTTGGCGTCCCATCTATGGCAGTTAGCAATGTTGCTGGTAATGCTGTCTTAACCTAACCTATCAGGTTAGCTACACATCTTATTGTGTAAAAACGCTTATCCTATTTAGACCTATTTTGTTTTTTGAAGCAGCCTGTCTAATTTCTGCTGTAAAAACTGTTGTTGTTTTTTAATGGGGTATGTATGTGACTTCTGGTGCTTCTGTAGCCAGCCTCAAGCGGAGACTCAGCGGACTGCAGGGTTTTGCACTTCTACATTGGCTTCACTTTTCAACACCAGACGCTGTCGCTCGGTTATCATGCTGCTGCCTTAAATCGCTTACTTCCTGATACCCATCACGCTTTTCAGGCTGTGTTTGACGCATCGCTTCCATTGCTGCGTCAAACAGCTGCTAACAGTAGCAAAACACACTGCAAAGGGCCAAGAGATTTCAGGTAAGAAACAACACATACCATAAGCCTAAACAGAAACAACAAAGGAAACATGCTGCGGAAAAGCTGAAGAATCATCAAATTCTCTGCTGATGAGACAAAAACACACAAACCTAAAAAAAAAAAAACATATGCAGAAAAACACAGACGAGACACAGAAATTAGATACAGGAGGGTTTGTTCTCCTCTGAAGCAGAAGCTGGCAGCAGCAGCAGCAGTGTGTTGTGGACCACACTGATACACACACATACTGTACACTTAGGGACGCTTCCTTACTTTTCTCTCTCCTCCGGTGGGAGACTCCCCCTGTGGCGTGTTTGTTGTTCAAATTGCCTGAGCTGCCAAAAGTTGTGATGAACAGGTTGTGGGAGACCCCCCTCTGTGCCGTGTGCGCGCGTGCGTGTGTTATTTTACAGTGTAAGTCTGCTTATCCTCATTTAGCTTTTTCTTAATTATACTTTTAAGATTTGTTGAGCCCAGAACCTGGCATCAGTTTCCCTCAGATTCCCTTAAATACAGCACTAAATTCATTTTCATTTGATTTTTTAATAAAAGATAAACAACATGTTCAGCAACAACTGTAAAATCAAGTTGTTTGTATTTTAAAGCTCCCCGAGCACCTGCAATATCCCTCATTAAACCAAGATTTTGAAAGGAAGCTATAGCAGGTACTCGCTCTGGGATGTGCTTTTTATTATCTTTTTTTTTTATAGTTATAGAAATATTTCACAAACAATCAGAGGCGCATTTATTACAGGTATATAGGAGAACAATTTCCTCACAAATGTGCCACACTGAATGCATTCAAGTGTCTTTTTTTGTGTACATTTCAACACAATAACAAGCTTCTTTGTCCTGGTTTTTGTGTATCCAGGTGGTGGACCTGTACTGGGGCGTGGATCCGGAGGAGTGGGACAGTCCAGAGCTGCAGAGACTCAGAATGAAGCTGCTGGAGGAATGTCTGAAGACCTCAGCGGGGCCATGTTTTGTTGTAAGTTTTGCACACCTCACAGGATACAATATGTAATGGATAGGGATGTACAAAATTAACAGATAAACGCTGTCGTCCTAGCTTGTGGGCACCAGAATCACTAGCTGGTTAAAGTTCTGATTTGTAATTGTAGTAATTTAGAACCCAATGCTGGTCAAATATTCAGGAGCTGGGGCTGTAGCTCTGATTACTGTCATACTGCCAGAGTGCTCTACTACCCGGATGTAAACCAGCAAAGCGGAAAGATGATCATCTCATACTGTAGGCGCAGCAGGTTTTGGGAGTATTTTGATCTACAAAATGGAGATACATTTGTGCGTAGGCTGTGACGGGTTAAACTGGCATATCGACCACAGCATGTGGACGTTAGCCTGAGGAATAACAGCTAGCTGTGATAGCACTGTTTTACATTTGCCCCATTCAGAAAAGCTTTTTGACATTGTTTACCGACAGATGCTGTGAGCTTGTGTTAAGCGGTATTATAGTGATTGTGCTCAATTTTAACTGTTTTCAGAGCGTTTTCAGTCGCTAGGAACATCCCTAGATATGAATCTCTGTGCTCGGATGTTGCCTAAGTTCAATGTGCAGCTTGTCCACACTCAAAAAAGAAGCAGAACATCATGTTAAATCAGTTTCTGTTTCTCCTCTCCGACACCTCTCGCTCTCTCATTCCATGACTTTATAACAGTATGGGCTTTACTGGCATCATGTGAGTACAAATAGAAGGTCTCTGGTTATACAATGTACTCATGAACAGACATAGAAATAGACATGTGCTTAAAAACAAGGACCAAAAGATCGATTTTTACATCTGTTGTTCTAGGAGTTGTGGCAATGTTGCAGTTGAAAACTGACTCCGAATTAAGAAGTTAAGTAGATTTGTAGTAGCCTTTGTTTGCAGATTTTGTTCTTGGGGAGTATTGATGCTACAAGCAGGGTTTTTAATTCTAGTGGTTTGAGTTTGTTTGGGTACAAATAACTTCATCCCTTATTTATTTTTGTTTTGAGTAATAAAAAATTAAATGTTCCAAAGTGTCTTGGGGCACAGATATTAGAATTACCAAGAAGCTAAAATTACACATCTGTGAATGAGTTATGTGAAGAGTGTCACGATGTGTAATTACGGCTGACATTTCAGCGATCTTCAGGAGATAATTTTGGGCCACACGCTAAAAGAGAAAAAGAAAAAAGGACTCAGGAAAGAGGATGACGCCTGGAGTGAAGAGAGAGAGAGGAAGACGACAGGAAGACAAATTGATGGGGAATTATTCAAATGGAACAGATCCGTTTCAAGAGGTTGGAATTGAGGGGAAAGATCACAGGGAGAGGTAATGCATTATGGGTAGGACAGGAGCGCAGGTCTCCAGGGAGCATAATCTCCTTTACCACCAGACTGTGTTCTGTATTTATTTTTTCTCTTCTCTTACAACCTTGCATGAACTGATTCCTCATCTCAAAGTTGTTGTTCTCTTTCTTTGTCAGGCAATCAAGCACACAAACCTTATTTTCACTTCAGAACATCAGCAGATCTTAATGATTTATTCTGGTTTATTTCCAAGGGGAGTGATGCTTCCATGCAGACAGTAACACATGTTTAAAGAAGTCTCTGCTGACAGGTTAGACTGATCCAAGAACCAGACAAAAATGCTGACTTGTTTGGCTTTCGCAGGTTTTTAAAGGCTTGGACAATACAATTATCTCGTGATCTGATTCAATCATGATGCTCCAATTTTTATTTGAAATGTATTGTGATTTAGAAATACTGCGACTCCTCATTATGCTTTTTTAGTCTATAAAACCACCAAACTATAGGAAGAAGTAAATCAGACACTATTAGAGACTGTATATCACAAGCCTTAAGTTCAGCCTTTATTACAAAACAGAATTGTGATATAATTTGATAATAATAAGGGCTGTCAAAAGATAAAACATTTTTTAGACACATTTTTAAATCACATGATGGAAATTCCATTATTTCGCATTTAAAAATAAAAAATTGTGAGGCTTTTATTTTGACATTTTTTGACTGTCTTAAGCTATACTCTACTTGCTGTATGACTACAACCCTGCTTTTATTTTGAAATATGGTAAAGACCTTCTGGTAGATCGTAGGTTATGACCAAGACCGGAGGTTGCCGGTTGATTAGATATGTTTTTGATGAAAATATGACGTTCTAAAAGCTGTGAAGTTGTATAGTCTCCCACTTTGCTTTAAATGCTCGCTCTATTTACGCTTAACTTAAAAAATGCATTCATTTCAGTCTTTAAACCATTTTCTGACCTTTTCAATCTGAACTGCGAAATGTCGGAATTCTCGTTTTCTGTTTTTGCTCAATTTGCTAGCCTAGCTTCCCCTCTAAAGCCTGTTGAGGCATTGTATGTGAAATTAGGCTGCGAACTGGATAAAAATCACCACTTCTGTTGTGAAAAGAAGTTTCACATCGCCCCCCTTTTATGCTGCTGGCTCTGTGTTGTACATCCCCCGCTTATTTCATTCATTCCTCCCAGCCCCATCGCACCCTCTGTCTGTGCTGCAATTTCACCGCCTTAACCCCGACTAACCCCGAGGAGAACAACACAACAACACACTGCTAAAACACACAATACCATGACACACACACACACACACCCGGGTCTTTGTTCTCTCTGCACTCTTTTTCTCTGATGGTCTCGAACGCACACCCACAGGTGCACACACAAACGGAGCATCTTGACCTGAGGCATTTTGTGTGTTGTGAAACAGAAATCTGTCGGGATAAATCAGGGTGATGCATGCTCCACGTTTATGAGCGGAGAGTGCAAGTCCTCCCCATCTGGATGGTTGAATTGTTAGAAGTGTATTCTCTTGTGTAGTAGAAGGATTTAAGCTCATCAAAACCTCCACAGCGTGGTCGGGGCCAGCTGCCATGGTCCCTGCAGTCGGGGCTTCCCGTCGTTGCCACAGTCTGGTCGGCCCCGTTTCTAGCTCTTGGGGAGCGCGGAGCTGCAGCGCGAGCATCGGGGTCCTTTGATCAGGGACTCGGATCCCCAGTTATGACAGTTCTGGGTTGTGTGGGCTATCTCCGGAGTACTACTGTTTATTTTCACAGGGTGGTAGACCTAGATAAATGTGTGTGGATGGGTAAAACATCAGTAGAATTTAGGCTCTTGTTGTTTTTGCAACAACGTACAGTAGGTTTTTAGAGTGTGTGTAAGTTTGAGTGTGATGGTGCTCAAAGCTAAATTCAGCTCTTTCACGATCATTTCATTTTCTTATCATTATTATTTGACTTTTTTTTTTTAAATCACTGTTTCTGTAGGGTGTGTCTGAACTTTGACTCTGAATTGAACAGCTTTCATTTTGTAGCCCTGGCCTCTAATTTTAAATCTGCCGTTACATCTCTGACCCATCAGGGATGCAAGAGACACCAAGGTCACAGTCCCAGTAACAGATGACAGAAAAAAAACGTTTAAAAAAGGGAAAATCCCTCTTCTTCCTGCAAGTCACTGTCATGACAGCACACAGACACATACACACAGACACAAAGGCGTTAAGAGGGAGACTTCAAGAGCAGCTGATCCTGGAGGTCTTCAGCCCACGACAACTGTCCACGAGCCTGAAAACTGTATCCACATCGATTGTTAATGTAGCTGCAAGAAAAGCTGAGGAGATGTAGAAAGGGGGGAGGATGGGAGGTTGAAGTAGGCAATATTAGCTTCCTTAGAAACGGCGCTGAGGATTGGCAGGCTTAGTGTAGGTGTGTTTCATGCTGCCTCTGAGGATTTGTGCAACAACTGGAGACCTCTTAAATACTCCTTTTGACACCTTCGTCTTACCTCGCTCACCTCTATGAAACACCATGCTCCTGTGTGAAGGGAATTGCATTTACAATTCACTTATTTTGATTATTTTTCACACACTTTTGCTGAAACATTTGTGGAATCACAGGCAAAGGCAAAAAAAAAAGATATTTTTTAGCAGACATGTATGAGTCGTTTGAGGTCATAAGACAGGAGTGGATCCTCATGTAACCGTGTTTTTATTAGATGTGTCGGTGTGTCTTTATGAGCAGGAATCAATTTCAGCGAGTGTCTTTCATAGGGCACAGCTGAACACAAGACAGGTGGCAGTGCAGGGCTGTTAAACACACACACACACATTCACAAAAATATACACACACACACACCACCACTAATTCACTACACCTGGCTGAGGAGGAGGGGAGGGGGCTTCCCTCTAACATGTCGATGCAATAAAGCCGGTTTCCATGGCAATGGCAGGGGTTGGCATGGTGATGGTGTCATTGACCCGGAGATTAAGCATGACAATGAGCTACGTCTGTTTTTTCTTTTTCTTCTTCTTCTTCTTCTCCTCTGCTCTCTTGCAGTCTCAAATTCCCCCCATGGAAGAAAAAACTTGATAAATGCCTCAAGGACGCAAACGAGCCACTCATCCTGTTTTTCTGCCCTTTAAAAAAAAAAAAAAAAAAAAACTCTTCATCCAAGAAGATATTTGAGGCTCTTATATTCTGCACCATTCAGTTTAAATGATGTAACAGCTAACGCGATATCCCAGACGGGCTGGTTTAACTTTTCGCTATTCAGTGAAATCTGATACACGGAGAAAAATAACAAGACCCGGAATCTCCAAAAAGAGAAATCCTCCAAGAACTGAGCAGAGGAGTTACTTATTTATCAGTTCTTAGAGATACTACTTATCAATTAAAAAAATTCAAATTCACAACTTGCAGTATTTATTTTTACTAATTATTTGATTCTACCGTTAACAGTGTTTACTCATTAATTACTCATTAATTACTTTCCACTCATCAAGTACCCCGTTCCCAACCAACATCCCCAACGCATCTCTGTTAGTTTATACCATAGCTGGCCCATTGTTACCTCTCCCTCACATTTGTCAATAGCAGTGTTATTTATATGATCGCCAAAAAACCTCAAACTTGCTTTGGACCTCCTCGTCTACAATTTCATTTTCACCACAGCAGATGAGCTTGTGGGAGAAATCTTGTTAGAATAGTGTATGAAAACTATGAAATACTTAATAGGAGCTGTTATGTCGGCGAATACGAAGATTTTTCAACCAACTTAAAACATTTAGAGTTTTATTGCATTACATTAGCATGTCTCTTTCTGGCTGTCACCAGCAGAGTGTGTTTTATGGATTACAACAAGCATCCTCACCCTTCATAGTGTCAAGCGCTGATGCACATACATGCGCAGTTATTTTCCAATTGAGTGACCATCTTGTCTTCATTATAAATCTTTTCCACAAGTGTTTAATAACATCAATTTGGTTATCAACACATAAATGTGTAGATCCATATCCATCTATCTCTAAAGATCTAATAGGTCTAAGAAAGATATCAGCCGATATATCGTTTGGGAATTTTTTTTCTCCCCAATATCAGTATCAGTATCGGCACCAAAAAGCTCACATCGGTCGGGCCCTAATTCAATCAAGTGCTTTTAATAGTTTTTGGGCACCAGCATCGGTTTATTTTAGTGACTTTAATTCTTTGTAGGATTTGTTCACTGTTTCGTTTGGTGTTTCATGTTCATTGTTGATAATATTAACAGTATTTTCCTGAAATGTGCGTGTATTTCTTCCACCCTATGACTCAGTAGGATGATATCAGTGTACATCTCAGTTTGAAAACACAAATACTGCAGCCTTGGTGATCAAAGAATATGTTTCTTTTTTTCAGAGCCATTTCTGCCTCTGCAGCACCAAAGCTTATGCAGCAAATATCTGAACAAGTGTGTTTCATTGATTGATTGACTGCGTGAGTGATTGATTTGTTGATTCGTACTGTAGCTGTGCACAATATCTTAGTCGCCTCTTCCAACCAGCTCATCAGATAAAGTGCACTTAGCCAGAGTACAAAAAAAAAAAACCTTTCCAAGGATGAGAACCAGGGAGGAGGGAGGGAGGAAGAAGAGTGACTAAAACTGGAGTTTCATGCTGCCTGTTCCCTCTTTACTATTTCTAACATCGACAAAACTTACAATGATGGAGGGGATTGAATGTGTTGGTGGAGGTGTGTGTGTGATTTTGTCATTTTGATGGAAAACCTCAGTTGGTTTTCTCCTAATCTCTTTCCACACACACACACTCAGTCAGTCACACACTTCCTTTATCCAGGGTTAACACCGCAAGGCGAGCTGACAGAGACTTTGTCAGCGACTTGGAGAGTCTCACACTCGCTATGCGGTGTATCCCTCTCTCAGCACTGCTTTAGTTCAGCCCACAGACACCTCACTGCAGCACTGTGACTCATAAGGAGTCTGCCTAAAGAGGACCGATGAGGTGACCTGCAGGGACGCCCAGTGCATCGAGAATCCTGTTCTGTCTTCAAGTTTTCAAACATCTAAGAATTAGCTTAGCAGTCACTTGCTTCAAGGCTTTTTTTTAGATCTCAGGCATTTAAACATGTGGAAACTAATTAACTTCTAGCAAAACACAACATTAAATATAAGCCTCAGAAGCACAAAAAAAAGACACAATTCCTGGACCCTTAACATTAATGTTAGCATGATAAGCTAATGAGAACTTATCCTTTCATTAGAGTACAAGATGCTAATATGCTATATATATAGAGAGTAGAAGCTAAGCAATGACGCTTTAGCAAGGTTAACTCTGGAATAACACCACATAATGATGCCTGAGATGGTGCTACTTTTGCCGAACACATTTTTTAGTTCTAAGTCTGACATGGTCCTTATTTTCTGGAGCTTTCGTTGTAAAAACGCATGACATTTCAGTAAACAAGCAATACAGCTAAAGCTAAGAAGTAAAGCAGTCAAAAAGGTTGTGTTAGGTCTAATCAAGAGTCTGTTGCCGTTTTATTTTCTCACAAAACTAAATACAAAATTAAAAACATATATATAAAAGTGGGGATGGCTTTAACCAGATCATAAAGGGACTGTTAGCTTGATTAAGTTAAGCTAGCAATAGCTATGGTTAACAAACGGTGAGGACCTAGGTTGTTCGATGAAAAGAAAACTTTGCACAAAATGTTTGTATTTTGCAAAGCAGACAGTAACATTTCACTTTACAATGTCCTGAGCTCAACTGTGCCTCTGTCACTTGTAAGATTGTGGGCTTTATTGTAGCTCATGGCATTTTCTGTCAATCACAAGATCTAGTGAGCAGCATTGTCTGGTTAAAACCTTCATTTTAAACACAAAGAGAGTTACACATGCCAATATGCGACCTTGAAAATGGCACCTCCTCCCCCAAAACAACTGATACTGTACGAAGTAAAGATGGAGAAGAAACTGCAAAATAAACCTTTTGTACTAAAACTGTAGGACTGTAAGTGAATCCACCAAAGGCGTTAGACGTTTGTGGGGTTTGAAGGGTAGGCTGCTCCTACAGTCCACGCCGCGTGCCATCGTCTGATTGTGCTTGTTCTCTTCATCTGTTCCCACTGTGAATGCCAAGGGAAACGAGGAGTCCAACATGGAACGGCTTTGAAGCGTCATTGCCGTGAGCTGAAAAACCCCAACGTTGTTTTCCTGCTCATCGGAGCTCACAGTCCCTCACTCGCTCTGCGTCTTCACCCTGAGGCTTCAGCTGCATGAGTGTTACGACACATGGAGTAAAGATCAGCTGGTCATAGAGTGGAGGATTTCCTGTGTGATTGCATTCCTTTTCCTTTTTTTTTTGCTTCTATTGTCCTCAATTGTGACTTTTAAGGGCGCATGAAGGAGAGCACCAGGAAATAGCCCTAATCATTTCCGATGGTATTGAATCAGCTGCCACTCAACGCGAGTGTGAACAGATGCCGAGAGGAAGAGTGAGGAGTCGTTGGAGCCGGGAGTAGATACACCATGTGGAGTGGGAGATAATGGTGTGATGAAAAGGCCACTTTTTAATTTGATGATGCCCAACTATCCAGATTCTGTGTAGTTTTCTGGTTGACTAAAATATTATCGATATAGGCTTATAAAGCCGATGATGGCACATATAAAACTTAAATTTCACTGTTTTAGTTTCTATTCTCCCAGATCTACATGCCACAATTTCATGAAGTATTAATTTCCTTTCATTCAAAAAGGTGCCATCTGTTCCACATTTCAAGCAAATCTGCTCATTTCATTAATACCACTGATTACGGGGCATTAGGAAATTTGGCCAAGGCTGCCTGTTTTACATAACAGTGTGTCATTCAAGCATTCGTAGTGCAACAGCAGAACGAATCAGCTTTTTTCTTACTGAAAACAATAAATGATTAAGAAGAAAAAAGAAGGCTGGCTTTGAGATACACTCTTAGGGTAATTCAGTTTTTATACTATTGTTATGTTACATCCAATGGCTAAAATATAAACAGTGACAAACAGTAACAATTCAAATGCATCAGTAGATGGAGAGAGGTTACAGTGAGAGCGGGTATAAGATGCGTTTCCACTGCAGAAACTTTTGCAGGAACTTTTGCAGGAACCAGCGACTTTAGGAGGAACTCCTTTGTGTTACCGAGACTTCTGAGTTGGAAACACAACTATGGACTTTTGGAGGAATTCAGTCTGTTTCCTCTTCAGGTACCAGATTCAAACTAAGTCAAATTGACTTGAAAAAAACCATAAGGTCCCTGATAGTACTTTCTGATACTATGGGGACTTTAGGAGGTGCTCAGTGCGATTCCAACGCCGAAACTTGTGTGACTGAGACTTATGTCTGTACTTAGTGCAGTTCCACCAACTTTCACCAGGAACTAGGGTCCTTAGGGAGGTACTCAGTCGTGTTTGCAAAGCAGGGACATCTCCAAGGGACCATTGAAGAAGGTTCTCTTTGGTTTCCACTGCAGGCACCAGATCCAATCTAAAGCCAAAGTGACTTTATTTTATCACCTGAAAGCTCCCTGGTAGGGGGTTTTACTTTCCGAAAGTACTGGGATTTTAGAAGGTACTTTCTGTTGTGACTGAGATTTTGTAGGCACTTTCTAAAGGGACCAGGGGCTTGACGGGGTACTCAGTGTGTTTACACTGCGGAGAACCATGTTCCAATACAGTAGAGGCATTGTACGTTCTGAACAGACTTTAGGAGGTACTCAGTGAGATTCAACAGCAGGAACTTTCTCTATTGATTAGGAGAATACAATGGCTGAACAACAAAGTCATCTACGGTTAGCATCAAGGCTTTAAATTCTCTTTCATTATGATACATAATGAGAGTTATATTTGGTAGTCTGTGACGTATGTTTGGGCAGATGGCATTCTCTCTGAACACACTTGAGTTTCTCTCACTTTTTATATTTAAAGTTATTTGCAACACTTACCATAGATGTTTGTGTTTCTCCGTGGGAGGAGTGGTGCAAATGTTCCTTTTTTATTGACTCTGTGTGTGTGTGTGTGTGTGTGTGTGTGTGTGTGTGTGTGTGTGTGTGTGTGTGTGTGTATATATATATATATATATATGTGGCTGTGATTTAAAGCTAATATTAATTCAAGAAAGAGTCCTCAGAATACATCACAGAGTACAAAAATACATTCCTCCTTGACTGTTGGAAGTCTAAATGACACCAAAGTTAAATGTGTGGTTTGAAATTGCCTGAAAGAAGTCTCACTATCTGTATCATGACTTCACCCTGCGCCACTAATCCAAATGAATTTTTTCGGATCAAGTTGAATCATATGTGTCTCTCTCTCTTCCTTCTTTCCCTCCCCATTATCCTTCCTTCCTCGTCCCCCCCCCCCCCCTTCAGGGTCTGGTGGGAGAAAAGTATGGCAGCATCCGAGTGCCAGGGGAGGTGGAGTCTGCCGAATTTGAGATGATCTTGGATGCAGCTGTGGAGGCGGGGCTGGACACACACATCTTAGAGGAGTGGTACTGCAGGGATGAAAACTCTGTGCCACCCGCATACTACCTCAAACCCAAAGCCCAGATGCTCAAGAACTACCAGAACTCTGTGAGTCCAGCAGACATGCTGCCATGAATGTGTTGAAAAGGAAATTGTTTGTTATTTTACCCATAAACATGCAACTAAACTGAGATTTTAAAAGTACCTTAAATGGATTCTAGTCCTTGAGCTTCACAGTTAATGAATTCTCCTCCAGAAACATAAACTATGTACACAAGGAAAAGAAATGCAGCTTCACACTTTATCTTAGGTAGACCTTTTGAAATCATGTGCTGAACTGTTTTCCAAATCAAGGTTACAAAAAGTGCACATAAAAATGTTTTTGAGTTTATTCTACACCAACTTAATTAAATCCATTTTCTTATCTTGTCCAGAGACTTTTATATTTAAGTGATATTTCACAAGTAACATTAATTCACTGTCTTACTCAGCAGAACAGAGTGATATATGCAGGTAAAAGTCTCTTTATCAGCACTGATGGAATGCCTCTTATCCAATCAGATAACTGTCCAAACTAACTGTTGTATAAAGGTAGAATACATCTGGCAGCGGTTTTTTTTCACAGTCGTCATGATGATGCTGCCTGGAGATTTACTTTAAACTTTGGCCCATTGGCAAAAAGAAATTCAGATTTGAATGTTTCATATTTTGAGAATCTCTCAAAGTCTCCATCATACAGCAGAATCTACCAGAGTGAGTCATTCCAGTAAATATTTGAAAGAGAGATTCGAGCCGTTCAGCCAACATTAGACATTTTAAATGAATCTTTCCGAGATTTAACACGGACTAATATTCTCTCTTAGTAAAGAAAACGTGATTCCCCTCGGTGCACATTGACAGCCCTTCATCTGAACTGTAAACTCACACTGCCCTCTCGCTGCCCTCCCGTCTCCCGTCTCAGATGGAGTCGAGCAGCGCAGCCAAGACCAAGAACGACAAGGCCTGGAGGAACGTGTCGGAGGAGATCAAGAGGATCTTCAGGACAGCCGTGCTGCAGCTCCAGGAGAAAGGGACCATGAAGAGCCCTCAAGCCAAGAAATTTCTCTGCTCTGGTTCGTTTCTTCTTCTGTCGTTTTTATATCCTTTTACGTCAGATTGTTTGATCCCTCCTTTTTCTAGTCAGAAGATGTAAACGGACTTGGTGAATGCTGAATAGGCTTGAGCTTGTATGGTGCTTTAACCTTCATGAGAAAACAATCTCACCTCAACTGTTGTTTGGAGCGTCAACTTGATGATGAGATGCAATCAGGATCCATCCGACAGTGATTGATCGATCACACTGTATGTTCCCCTCACAGTGTGTTGCAAAGATTTTCAAAGTGACTTTTTGGCAGATTATCACGCAACTCTACTGTATGTCCTATGTCATGAAATTCATATTATTTTGTCACTGTGGTTCTTGAGAATCGTCATTTTCCCTGAAGTGGTCAAACTTAGCTCTCTTATATCAAATCAAACATCAGAAGTAGAAAACAAAAACAGTTATAATGACTTTTTCTTTCTTGTGCTGGTGCAAAAGACAAACAAAAAGGTCTCTCCTATAGACAAATTATTCCTCTTAATCTTTCTTTGTTGACTTTCATTTACAAACTTTTAAGCTTGTAATCCCTCAGGGACTGGTCTTGGGCCCCAAGCATTTGTCTGCCTTGCCCATTGACAAGCAGCTTCTCTGGCTACATATTAAAAGTCTCTCCATTTTTGGAATCACAAAGTTATTGCGGAATTGTTTTGACAGCGCTGAGCGACTCTTTAAAGACATCCTCTTTTTAATTTCTCAGCCTGTCATTGTAGGAGAGGATAGAGACACATAATGACAAGTCCTGGTCTATGAGTAGTGGCTCTGTTCTCATAAAGCAGATAGTACAGTATGGACATATACAAGCACCATCAAAATATATATCTTAAAAAAAAGAAACAACAGCTTGTCATAACAGAATGCAAGTGTCAGATATCACACAGCAACGGACGCTTGCTGCCCTCACTTCATCTGTGAAATATTAGCTTCTCTGCTCTGTGAGTTTCAGTTTCCTCTTGCAGACAGTATGACACCTGTGCTTTTATTTTGAAGGTGGAAAGACAGAAGTGTGGAGCCTTTGACAGCAATGAGCCGACTTTTCTCAGATGTCGAAGCATTTCTGAATACTTTTAACATATAACTTCATGAATTTAAATATAACTTCTGAATTCATGTTCAGAAAAGATACTCTCTAACTGTTCTTTCATATTTTGTTATAAATACTTTTACGTCCGGGTGATGATTTATACTTTTTTTTGGTACCATTAGGGCTCCATGATGGCAGCATGCAGCCTGTTCATGAAGCATAATAAAAGCTTATTAAGCCACTGCAGCTACACTTCTATGTATTCATTTGCAAAAGGTCATGTCAGGAAGTTCCAGTTTGAGTCCTCTCTAAATGTTCACATTGGGCTTCTGAGCCGGGCTGGGTTTTAACTACATGGAGAAAGTTGTTTCTTCTCTTGGAACTTTCCTTTCACACTCCTCTCCCCCTCCTAATTAAACTGCTCCAGTACGCATGTGAGCAAAACTACACGGGAGATACTGGCAGAGTTCCAGTCAGCCGCTGATACAGCTCAGCGGTGCTGGCTTATGAGATTTTTATCAACTTTGTTTCTACTTAAATGAGGCTCAGGAGAAATCGGCGTAATCGCAGGCTAAAGGGCTTGGAAAATCTGTCCAGCCAAATGCAAATCCTACATTTGATAGACATTTATCTCTGCAAGTCGGAGATAATAACCCAGCTGTGGTCTTTATCACATTTAAGCCACCACTTTTCTTTAGTTTTTACAAATAGAGAATTTTCAGGAAGACGTCTTAGACATCATATAAGAAATGACAAAACTGTATTTGTTCTTTTTCTCAGCCTTGGAGGATGAACTCGACTTCGCTCTTGGGAAACAAACTCCAGCCTTTCTCAGGAAATGCGTCTGCTACATTCGCAAGATCTCCAACTTCGACCGCTTCGCCAAAATCCCTGAGATGACCCGCTACATGGACATCGTGGTGAGCGCCGACCGCGTCATGCGCAATCAGGAAGCCTACGAACGCCTTCTGAAGGTCCGGGACGAGTTCATCCCCACCGTCGTCGCCGCCTCCAACCTCCGCGTCTACTCCTCGGTCACGCACTGCGACATGAAACTGGGCTACTCGCAGGAAGTGGAGAGCAACTATGTGGAGGGTCTGTGTAAACAGTTCTACGAGGACATGGTGGACATCATCCAGGCCACGGTGCAGCAGAACTTCGACACGGAGACCGACCCGCTGTACGACGAGATCCTGCAGCACCTGTCGCTGTGTAAAAGCTACTCCACGCTCTTCGAGTTCAAGACCGAGTCGTTGGATTACATTCAAGAGTATCTGATGCCATCTAAAGGGAGCAGAACGAGCCCCCTGGTGGTGTATGGGGGGCCATGCACAGGGAAGACGCTGCTGCTTTCAGAGGTGGCAAAACAGGTGAGACAGAGGAGCTAAATAAAAACAGAATTCTCTGGCGCAGACTGAGTAACAGCTGTGAACTACTAATTAAAGATGGATGTGATGTGATTGCCTGGCATCAAAATAACTTTCTCTTATAGTTTGACTGACAGTCATAACATAAATAAATTTAGAAATTATACATTTACATTAGAGGGTAGCCAGTAGCATCATGGTTAGTGCGCTTGTCCACATACAGAGTCGGGCAGCCCGGGTTCCAAGCCGACCTGTGGCTCCCCTGTTTCTGACATAAAAAGCCCCCCAAACTAAATCTTAAAAGAAAGAAAAAAAAAAAAAACGTACATCCGGAGAGTTGTTGGACTCATCTCTCTCACTCGTGTCTGCCGAGGAACATAAGAGAGAAACTGTTCTTTAAGAGGAAGCAGCTTAATTTAGTTTTCCTTTCAGTTTAATGCTAGATCAGTTTGATTTTGGGAGCAAGTTAACTTTTGGTTAAATTTACCCCCCCCCCCCCCAAAGCTAACATTAGCAGCCAAGGCCGCCCATAAGGGGGGATAAAGGGCAACGTTTCCTGGGGCCCAGTCGCATGGGGAGGGCCTTTGAAGGTTGACAAAAAAACATGGTTCATCCTAATTTTCAGCACAATGACCAAATCGTATTTTACACCTAAATACTCACCATTATCTCTTTAGAGTGTTTAGTCTGCTGATTTGAAGAGGTTCACATTTCGGGTAAAAAAAAGTTCATTTTATTCCAGGCTCAGAAATAACTGTACATAAAAGAGCCTATAAAGTGCCTTCATTCCAAATATCCATACTGGTATAGATACTTATATCCTCATAATAATACACAGTTATCGGTATAAGGTTGTCCCGATAATAGATACTGATATCAGAACAGATGTGATCATTTTTAGATCATGGTGTTTGTCTTTTTTTGTTTGATATTCACCCCTCTAATGTCTCACGTTTGCTGCTCCTTGTCGTCCTGCTTGAGCTCATCTGTCTCTCTGATCTCAGCATGTGTCTGTCTTTGTACAACAGAGTACGAGTGGGCGTTCAAACTGTTCATCTCGTCTCATCAAACGCTCGCTTGACCATCTGTGTGTCTGCCAAATGACCACGGCCATGCCCATCTTTTCCTTCCCTGTGAAGCCACGTGTGTGTGTGTGTGTGTGTGTGTGTGTGTGCGCGTGCGTGCGTGCGTGCGTGCGTGCGTGCGTGCGTGCGCATCTGCATACGCCTTCATGGGTGTGCGTTTAGTCCGCTCTCATGTGTTAACATCTGTTGAGATCGTATCTATTTCTGTTGGTAAATGTGTGTGCAGCTCGGTGTGTTTGCGTCCACATGCACATTATTCTCCTGGTTGTGTGCGTGCCATCTGGCTGGATCACACCCACAGATCTACCCCTCCTGTCCTGCCTTTGCAATAACTGTCACACTGGTACAATCGTTTTTTGTAACGGCAAATCACAACATCTAAGGTCAGTGTAGAGGTGAATACAGGGGCGAGTCTGTTTGGGCCCAATGCATAAACTCACAGGGGGGCCCTCCCAACAGTGTTCATGTTCATCATGTCATAAATAATCTGACACCAAGAAAAACATCTAGTTAAAGTTATGTTATCAAGGTTTCTCTCCTCGACTTTTAGGGCTGGACGAGCACCATCCAGTCATTTACTATTCTATAACTTATTGGTGTCAGATTTGGCCCCCTTACCCCCAATTTCCACACACTCCTTGCACAGCGCCGACTGACCGCTACGCCGTAGTTTGCTGCCACTCTGGTCAATCATTGTGTTTCCACAGCGAGCGTCGCGGTCCTTCTCTGGACCGTGTCACCAGCGGCACTGCGCTCCGTTCCGTTTCAAATACTCTACAAGTCTATTTTTGGCGGAGTACGCTGCAGACATGCGTCAAGCTGGACAGAATATGACAGACCCCCGGACATGAAAGTTTCAGACTGCGACTAAATAATGTGATTTTAAGACTCTTTAGTCAGCCGATATTTTAACAAATTCTGCGAGAAATGAATCCCTGCAGTAGGACTGTGTCTCTCGCGTTTCCATCAGGGGAGTTTACCTGCTTCTTCCAATCATGCCCTGATTTCCGTCCCATAACATTATCAAACATCTTTCATGTTTTTCCAGCACCAGGTGGATGTTTTCAAAGCTTCCTTCTAGCATGCTGATTCTGTTTCCTCAAGTGGAAACAAGGTTTTGGAAAGAGAGAAAAAGGGAACACCAGCTGTCTCAAATCATCAGTTGTTGTTTTTTTTAGAGTTACTGGAAGCTAAATCTTAGTTTTTATCCAAAGTTTTCCCATTAAAATTGGCCCCAAAAAACTGCCTGTTTGGCTAAAATGAATGTATTGATTGCATGACTTATCAAATAGAACCCACTCAGATGAGCCAACTGATGCCTCAAACAACGTTAATGCTCTGAAGCTTGTGTGTATTAGTGTGTGAGTAGGCTGCCAATGTCACATATGGTCTGCTTTAGATGAAGCTGTGTTAAACCTGTACACCTTATCACGACTGAAAGAAGACCACATCATGTTATCGTAGCTTCTTGAACCACATCGAAGAAGCTTTATTCAGATTTCTTTGGCCATTTTTTCTTTTTACTGCAAGTTAAAACAAGAACTGGAACTTTGAAATCCAAACATCAGAGAGAAGTTTGTTTTTCGATAAGCCGGACTTCAAGAGCTGCAGGATAAAGGCAGAAGTGTTCTGAAGCTTCTGTGTTGCTACTCTATGCTCAAGTCTGCAGGGTGTAATTCACACCTGAGCTGTTTGGTTTGGTTCACCTGAACCCGGGAGTCTTTATGACTTTACTTTTGAGCTCAGATCACTGGATCTGCTCAAAGACAGGTGTCCTGTGGGTCTGTGCGCTGCCTGATCTGTGTTTTCTTTGTCGTGTAATTCAATAAGAAACAGCAGCTTATGTGTTGCAGACATTAGAAACACAAAAGCTTAAAAAGGACTAATGTATGTATCCTTCATAAATAGTTGATTATAGGTGTTGTTCTTTTGCAGTCCAGGAAAAGTCTGTTTTAGAATGTGCAAATGGTGTCAGGCAGAAAAGACGTTTAGAAGTTTACACATTTAAATATTGTTTTCTCATTCACCTACAGTAATAAGGAACAATGAGTCAAACCATGAACATGTGAGGTTGCCTTAAAACCGCCTACTTTCTCTGGTCTGCACAAATACAGACCATTCTGGACTGGAAAGGAAATATCCAGTAGATATCTTACTTATTTTTCCTTTAAAATCCCAGCCCAAACTGAAACTACTGAACAGGCCTCCTCAGTGTGGTAAGACTAAAAGTAAGAATGGAGCTGAAATTCAACCCACTGGATTTATATGATGTGTGTTTGATACATAATTCAAACCACTGATCCAAGAGGAATCCAGGTCAAAGTGTCTCACATTTATGGTACTCCGGGAAGAGCTTTGTACTGCATAGAGATCTGTCTGTCAGTGTTTGCACATCTCACGAGTGCATACTCACACTGAAAGGAGTTAGCTTAATATAACAAAGTGTCAAAGAGAAGAATAGTGTTGAAGAGATAAGGGGATTATTTCATTATGAGCATTGACCTTCACTTTGCAGTGTGAAAATCCTGTGGAGTTTTTTGTTCTAAGTATAAAGAATACATCAGATGTTTTGTTCAATAGACTATGAAAGCATAAAAACAGCACTATGTAATTACTTCATCACAGTGAAATGGCTTCTGGGCACAGTTTGAGTATAGCTAGCGATGCAATGGATCACAAATCTCATGTTAGGATTGGATTACGGATTTTTGTCATGGATCAGATCGTTTTCCGGATGGGCAAATAAAAGATAATTTTATAATGCAACTATTTCACTCCTCAGCTAGCCATGACTCAAACTGTGTACTTTAACAGCACTAAAAAAATCAAAAAGCACCTCCATGAATCTAAACAGTAATAATAAAAGCAGCGACTCCTTTTCATTTAGAAAGTAGCAAAGTGCTTTTACAAATCTGAGTTAAAACAGTATAAAGGGTCATCATTTAAATAGCAGTATGTGTAACCTCTCATCAGAGACTTCTACTTTAAGGACAAAAAACTGAACTCTTTCAGTGACTAACAAGTTTGCTGTCATCTACAAAAAATGCCTCATGTGTGCTTTGACAATGTAACATACACGCTGTTCATTTAGCGGATGTGTGTTTGTGGCTGCACAGTGCGTGCTGTGTTATGACGCCCCATACTGTGTGAGTCAGACAAAAACACCAAAGGGGGGTGCATGCGTTTCACCTCTCGTGTGTTCAGGGACTATTTTTTAGAAGGAACTCAGAGCTGTTTAAAGGAGTTTGTTTGGCTAAGGCTACAGCAGGCTGGTATGTTACTGAAAAGTTTCTGAATGATGTCACATGCTTTTACCAGCTGATGCCTGTGTGGTAAATGCATACACAGTGAGATGATACAGAGAGAAGTCGAAGCAGGTTGGAAACAAATGAACCATATTCATGACATTTCAACAATTTAAAACTCATTTCTGTGTCTGTGAAAATCTCACATTTGAACAGATCCAGATCAGCTGTGATACGTTTCACCAGTACTAGCACAGAAATGAGTCATCAGAGCCTCTGTTGAGATTTGAGCTTGTGAAGTCCGAGAAAAGTCAACAGGCTGACATGATACCATTTCAGTGTTGACTAATTACTGAGTTGGTCCCTGATAATCACAGAATTTAAAACTTTAAAATATGAAATACCCCCTGATAGATACTGCTCCACACACACACACACACACACACACACACACACGAACAAAGCTAAATGTGAAGTACGCGTCATCACTGTTGCCCTAAAAATGTCAAATAGCCTCTTGATGTCCTCTGGATGTCTCCCAGGAAGCCATCATAGCCAATTTATGAATTCATGAATGGAATCAATGTTACAACAAAGCCTCAAAATTGGAGTGGTAGTGATTCATAGAATTTTTAAAGTATGTGTTTTACTGACTGAAAATGTAACACACTGTTGTTAAAGAAAAAGTAGAAAAGAAAGACAAAGAAAGTTTTCTTGCTGTGCTAATGAGTCCTGTCTCATATGGTTAAAATAACAATTAGAGTCCTCTGCCGTCATTCTGGAGCTATGATTATCCTGGTTGTTTGACTGTTTCTCTAACCATGTATCAATGACTGTGTTTCTCTCATTTTACCTAGAGAAAATATTTTTAAAAAGTAAGAAAAAATTTTAAAAATTGCAGTCTAGCTTACTGTGTGTTTGTACCATGAACTATTGTACTCATAATATATTGTACTCATTTTCTAACAATCAACTCTCAATGCTGTGTTTTTTAGGCTTACACATGGCTGCAGACAGAGATGGGCCCTGAAACAGATCCAGTAGTCATTGTCCGTTTTATTGGCTCCAGCCAGCTATCCACAGACCTACGCACCCTCCTCCAGAGCATTTGTGAACAGATTGCACTAAACTACCGCTGCCTGATTCACTTTTTGCCTAACAAGATCCAGGAGATGAAGGAGCTGCTAATTAATCTTCTGGGGGAATCTTCTTTCCACAGACCCTTGGTAATTGTTCTTGATGCCCTTGAGCAGCTCTCAGACTCAGATGAAGTTCGTAAGCTGTGGTGGCTCCCCATACACCTGCCTCGGACTGTCCGCATAGTAGTCTCAACGTTGCCCAATAAACATGGCATCCTGCAGAAGCTTCGGCACCTCATCCATGATGAGGGGCAGTATGTGGAATTAAGTCAGAGGGACCGCAAGGTCTGCAGTCAAACGTTAAAACAGCAGTTGCTCGGGGTGAAGAGGAAAGTCACCTCAGGCCAACAGATCTATGTAAATGAGGCACTTGCCAAGTGTACGTTGCCCATGTTTGTTAACCTCATCTACAGAGAAGTAGTTCACTGGAGGTCTCACAAAGATGTGGATGACAGGTCCCTGTGCTCCACTGTACATGAAAGCATAGAACAGCTTTTTTACTCAGTGGAAAACAAGCTAGGCCAACGATTTGTCTTCAGAGCATTAGGGTACATCACAATGGCCAAGGCTGGGCTAACTGAGGTTGAGCTAGAAGACATTCTGTCCCTTGATAATATAGTTCTAGGTGATGTCATTGTGGCAACGTACCTGAAAAATCCTTTGCGAATATCTTGTGATTTGGTTGCAAGGCTCAAAGAGGAGCTTGATGGTTATTTGGTGGAACGTCAAGTACGCAATGTCACCTTGATGGTTTGGGCCAACAGACACCTGCATTTGATTGCTCAGAAGCTGTATCTTAGCAATGAAGAAGATGTACACCAAATGCACAGCCTCCTAGCTGAGTACTTCCTGGGGGCATGGTCAGGTGGAAGGAAGAAGATCTTCACTTACGATAACAACCATTTCACTTCCCTTAATATATCGCATCATAAAAACCCCCACAATCAACAGTCACACGAAAAAGCATCCTCTGACAAGTACTCATATGACAGACAAACTCCTGAGCAGCCTTGGGTGTTCCAGTGCAACCTTTTGGAGCCAGACATTTTCTTTGTCAACCACAGGAAGATGACAGAGCTGGTGTACCACCTTACCAGGAGTGGGCGCACTGATGACCTCATGTTCGGTGTCATCATGAACTTCAGCTGGCTTTACACAATGATCAAGATTGGCCAGTTTGAAAAGGCTTTAACAGACATTGACCTTGCTTACAGCTACACCCAAGAAAAAGAACTGAAGTTTCTGGCCACCACTCTCCGCAGCATCAAGGTGAAAGTGCTGAAAAACCCTGCATCTCTCTCTGCAGAACTGCAGCAAAGGCTTCTGCCAGTTGTCACCTCCCTCCCCAAGCTCAGACACCTTCTGTTGGAGTGTGATAAAGATGGCCCAAAGTACTGCTCCATTGTGCCTCTCCACTCTTCTATGGATGTCACCTACAGTCCAGAGAGGCTTCCTCTGTGCTCTAGCTACATGCAGATTGTGGAGGTCTTGCCCACTCTAGCCCCAAACATAGTCCTTGTAGCACTGGAAGATGGGTCTGTTAGTACCTGGGATGTAGAGAGTAGACAGCTTCTTAGGCAGATCGACACAGCAAGATCTGTTGTGCTAGGAATCAGGCTAACGACTGATGAAAAGTATCTGGTCGTGGCCACAACCAAAAACACACTACTCATCTATGATAATCACAAGTCCTGCCTTTTATCTGAGGTTGAAATCAAGGGGTCCAAGCATAGTGGGGTTGCTGGTGGAGTAGCGTTTATCAATGGCTTTACTTTGTCCACCCATCATGCCTTGGCATGGCTTGAGGCCAGCAAAGACGTCAACGTTATTGACCTACTCTACGGTTGGCCCCTCTACCAGTTCCATTGCTGGTATGAGGTTACTTGTGTCCAGTGCTCTCCAGATGGAATGTATGCCTTCTGTGGCCAGTACCTCAACACTGCATCCATCTTTCATCTCGGAAATGGGGATAAGTTATCCACTGTGACCTCTGAGTTTTCTGGGGGATTTGTAAAGTCCATTCTAGTTCTGGACACACTTCACCAAATGGTGATGATTGACAATGAAGGAAGTTTGTCAGTATGGAACACCAAAGAGGTCACCAACCCACGGTTGATGGAGGACTACGATTGTAGAGGGGATGACAGTGAGGTGGTTGGCATTGAGTTATCTGAAGACCAGCGCTCCATTCTCATCTGCAAGGCCAGAAGTATTGAGGTTCTGGACACAAAAGTATGGAAAATGTTAGAGAAGTTCAAAGCCAAACGTACTGAACGCTTTGTGGCTGCTGTTCTCTCCAAGAATGGACAAAGCATTGTGGCCTCCATGGAAAACACCTCCTCCATCTTTGTCTGGAGGAGGGACAGCGGACAGTGCATGGCAAGCCTTATTGAGATCTCAGGGGCTATCGTCAAACTCATCAAATCTGTCCACCACAATATGCTTCTTTCCGTTGCCAGCAGTGGAGTGCTGTCTGTATGGGACATTGATATCATCACCGCCATGTCCAATATTGACAAAACAGGCAAGAAGATCCAGACCTTGCAGCTATCAGGGAGAGAAGATTATGTGTTTACTATGGACGGCTCAGAGGCTGTCCACAAGTGGAACTTTGGAACTGGCTTTATTGAGACTGTCTTTAAGCATGAAGGCATAGTGGAGAACTGTGTCCTTAGCTCCTCAGGGGATCTCATGGTTACTTCAGATGACAAGTCCAGCCAGTACATCTGGCAAACCACAACTGGAGAAAACATCTTCCGCATCAACGGGCAAAGAATATCACAGCTGCTAATCACCCACAACGACCAGTTTGTGGTGTCCCTATGTGAACAGAATGCTTCCAGAGTCTGGAGGCTTGCAACTGGGCACAAAGTCTGCAACATTTTAGTCACCCTACAGAATGCACTGGTCACCACTGCAAACACTTTCCTAGTGGGAACCTCCAAAAACAAGCTCCTTGCTGTCAGCCTGTGGTCAGGCAGCGTTTCCAAGAAATTTGTTTGTGATGATGGCATCACCATCGTCAACTTCAAGCTCATCCCTGACTGCCCTGACTGTGTTGTCTTCATCACATCAACAGAGACTGTTATCATTTGGAGTGTGGCAGATGAGTCGGTGTGTCGGAGAGTCCAGCTGCCGACCAATTTCCTAAAAATCTAGAGGACTTCCAGATCTCACCCAATGGGAAACTAGGAATTGTCTCTAAAGGTGACGAGAATATTAATGTCCTGGATCTTCACAGTGGGAAGCTGAGGCTTGTCAATGCTGCTGGTATAATATGGCGGCAAAAATTATCAAGAGATGGACGTTATTTAGTTTATATCTGCTTTCGGAACTGTGATGAAGATGACGATGCTGGTGTCGTGTCTAATCTGATAGTAATGCGCCTTGCAGATGGTAAAAGCATCGGTACATGCTCCCTATACAAGACACCGACCTTCTTGTGTCTTTCCCAGCGAGCACTGAACATCATCATTGGCTTTGAGGATGGAAGCATTGGCACATACACAGTAGTGGACCGTGTGGATGCTGCCCTCAAGATAAAGATAGCCACCTCCAACAGCCGACAGATTGTCAACAACGCTTCGCAGAAAGTGCGGCCCAAATGTGGCAACCATTCCTTTAAGACCGTAGCCGATTGCACCTGGAGGGAGTCAACAGAAGTCTTCTCCAGGGACAGTCCAATCAATGTGTCCGACTCTGGTGAAGGTGAGTCGACCACACCAACAAAAAAGACTGAACTGCTGCAGTGATTAAAAGGACCAGAAGTGGGTGGAGACAGGCGGGTAGGACAGGCGACAAAGTTTAGAATCTCTGGGTTTGCAGTTGATTCTTGTTTACAGCCACGTGATTCAGCTGCAGATGTCAGCCCTCTGGGTAGTTAATGGGCCGACCTTTTAAACGCTGCACTCAAATGATGTATTCCTTACTTCCAACATATGATACAGTTTCTCTTTGTTTTACACACGAAGACTGTTAGACAAAAAACGTTTTTGAAAAGAAGAAAAATGTAAATCTGTGAGTTATTAGTTTACCATTATGTGTCCTTTTGCATTTGAAGAACAAAGTTATTCAAATGTCTTGGTGGAACATTTTCAAAGCCATTCCAGTGATCTTAGCCACTTTCATTGTACACAATTTTTAGTTTCTTTGTGCACATTAAATCATGATGTTTTCCTTAAAAAAGAGACTTTATTTATGTTTGTATCAACATCAGTCAGTACTGTACAAAAAGGAAGAACTATGAACATATGTACATATCCCTTTTTGGCTGCTGCAATTTGTGCAACTCCTTAAAAATGTTATGTTGTGCTTAATGCAATCAAAGTGAGTGCCTGGAATTTAAAATGTTCTTTATGTGCAGATTACAAGATATGTGAAAAAGCAGGGAATTTGTAAACACAGTATACACACAGTTACATAATACTTGCATTGATGTTAAATCAGAACAGTAAATGTACTGAAAACCAGTCAACAACATGGGAGATTGATGGCATTGCTCTTTGTAATGATAGCTGTAGAAACGTCTAGGAACAGTTTACGTGAATTTGATGTGAATTTACTTGCTGTTCCATCAGTTTGTGTGCTGTTTGTGTTAAGGGAAACACCACTATTGAGCATACAGTGTAGCATAGCACCATACACATTCACGCCTTAAACAGTGTTCGCTTTAGGTTTAGTGGAGTTTGTTCAAATGTTACGGTAGTAAAAAAAAAGAGCGATTAGCCCAGTGTTTCACAGAAACAATGTGGTGGATATATTTAGAGGTTCAGACTATAGAAGGAAGCACTTTATGGGTGGTTTTAAAAAATTGTTAGATTTATTTATATGAAACATTGTATAAAATAAAAAGTTTAAAGTGATCTAGAGTTGTCTTAAAATGGGTTTTGGATTCGCCTGCAAAATACACAAGGTCAACCTGGTTGCAGGCTACATCAAATTGACATAAATGCTTAAGTCTCTCTTCATACGCCTGTAGACAATATAAAAACACGTGGCAGAGACAAGAAATACATGGAATCTAACGAGGGTCAGTCAGAATCTGTGCTTGTTGAATGATTTGAGGAAATCATTTTAAAACCTTTGGTTATGAATCTGCTCATGCAGAAAAATATGCATGCATGAATCAAGATTGTGAATGTTAGGTAAAGATAGTAGTTGACTTTAGATAAAATGTAGAACAAATTGAATTTATTATAAGGATCTGCAAAACAATTGCTATTAGGAATTCAGAGCAGTTTCTTTTATGTTTATAGTACGTACGTTTTCCTTATTTAAAGCCAAATGAATCACCAATAGTTACAATGAACAACAAATGTTCGTCTATTAATACTTTAATTCAAATCTGCAATTAAAGATTATTTCCAAAAACTAGCATGATTTTGAAAGTAGCATTCCCTCAGTGCTCGGTCTGCACCCGCCCCCTCCCCTCTGTCCTCCCTCAAAAGCCACGCCCCTCACTTACATAGAAGCTGACCTCAGCTCATGCTTTGAGTGTTGGGCTCGTGCATGCATGAGTTAGAGAACGAGCAGGGAGACAGGGAGGCGTGATTGGTTCATCAGATTGGTACCTCGTGGCAGACATTGGTCAAAGTTTTTACAGGCTTACAACTGCTACAGATGACAGATTTTCAGAGCACATGAGTTTTTAATGTCTGTCAGGATCTAAAGACAATTTCAACCAAAATCCTAAAAAGTGTATCTGGAGAAAATTACCAGCCCTGCCGTTAACGTCTTTTCATCTGGGTTAGAGCAGCAGCGTACGGACCAGCAACAGATGCGTCAGCAAAGACAAAAATAATGAATCAGTGAATGCTGATGAAGGCTTTTTGCTGAAACGCATCCATTGCTGGTTTATACACTTCTGATCTACTCAGATGAAAAGACGTTAAAGGACATTAAATCTGAATATTAGAAGTTCTCTCACAGATTCAAAAGAATGACATGCAACAACATAATTTCTCAAGCACACAATCTTTTTGACCCTCTAATGAGCCCGTAGAAATACGACTCTGATAACATTATACAGACTGAAATAAAGCTGGTGAGATCTGGTTTGCTGACAAACTAAGATTATATGAGAAAGTCTATAAGGTTGTACCTTGCAGACATCTTGATTGCTTCTTTTAAAGCATGTTCGTACAACCCAAAACACAATTTTTGTCTGCGTCCGGAGGGACCAGTCATCTATCAGGCATGATTGATAACCATACTTACACTTTGACATATACTTTTTAAGGGCTATTCCATCTTATGTATGTTTACTAGTTTTGAAGAGTCCAGATAAATGGCCCTTAATAATTTCAAACCGGGTAGCAGCGTCAAGCTTTAAAATATTTGATTTCCCTCCAACAGAAGAGTTTCTAAATTGAAAAAGAATACTATACCATGTAATTACCAAAGTCCCAGTTATAGTTTGTGTTGGATTATGTTGATTGTCTCATTTGTTTTTGAGGCTTGTACTGTAATTATATTGTTACCAAATTGTTCTAGTGTTGGACTGTGATTATGTTTATGATAGAGACAATGTGCTATCTTTGCTAAAAAGTTGAAAAAAAGAGTCCTCTTATGAAATATATTGGAATGCCAATTTAAGAATATATTTGAATGTGTCCATATGGAAACCAGTAAACGGTATTATTGTATGTTCAGTAACTTGAATGACTTTAATAACTTACATGTTTGCAACTCATAGTTGACCTACTGGTATAATGAATGTTTCTATGGTATTCTTTGTATTGTCAGGACTGACCTACCTGTTTAGAGATTTATATTTTCATAAATGTTGTACTTACATTTTGTTACAGAGTTGTTTAACGGGAAAAACAGAAAAAGAAACTTAAGTCTGAAGCAATATGAAACTAGTGTGTATGCATTGTTTGTATGAAACATTTTAATGTAATAAAATGGTTCACTTTTTGCCTCCAGTGCATACGCCTCGGGCTTTTTCTCTGTTATTAGTAGAGGTTGTTTGAAGGCATTGTGATCTTCCTGCTTTCATACATGGGTGTTTTACTGACTGCCTTTGTTTGTAGAGAAGACAATGAGTGACAAGAATACATTTCTAATTTGCTAAAATTAGCACAACCCTGGCTTACTGGTAGCTGTAAGTCCGGTTGCAGAGCTGCTTTGGAACAGGTTATTCTTCAGGCTGACTATTCTGACAGCCACAAACACACACAAGCGCACACACACACACACACACACACACACACACACACACACATTGTATATGCAACACAGCTGTAAAATGATTTGATAGCCCAGTAATTGCTCCTCTGCACTTCATGTTGAACGCCTGACAAGCCTGGTGAATATTTCGCCAACAGCGTCTGACATTGTCATTATAATTAGAGGATGCATGTGCATGTGTACCTGCACACCGCCCTGCGCCAAACAAACGCACACATACAGATACACACGCACACACACACACAAAGTTGCAAAGCAATCACATCCAAAATCAAGCTGTGATTGGCCAATAAAAGCTGTGTTGCTTTGGGCAACCAGTTTAATTTCCCAGTGGTGTCACTCTAAGTCAATCTGTATGTTTGCGCGCGTTGTGTGTGTGCGTGTGTGTGCGTGTGTGTGCGTGTGCTGTCTCCACGGGAACATCAGGCATTGCCACGCCTCTCATTGTAATGGCAGTGAGCTCATGTCTGTTGGCTATTGGGGCTGCTGCTGCTGCTACCAGTCCTTATGACAACAAGGGCTCGGCTATCGCTAGCACATTCCACCTGCAGGCATATAATTACACGGCTTGTTTGTTGAACGGGAGGTCTCCACAGGTCACACACAGCGCGCTTGTGTGTGTGTGTGTGTGTGTGTGTGTGTGTGTGTGTGTGTGTGTGTGTGTGTGTGTCCTACAGTAGGTACATTATGGCATTGACTCTTATTTACACAGCCTGAAAATAGCCGCTTCATTGTCAGCTGCGTTCACTCTTTAAACCAGGGCCCTCGTTTTGTCATCAAGGATTTTTTTCCATCTGTAACCTGTATTTTTCAGCGATGGGGAAGCCTGTGACTCACACATATTCACCCACTCCCCCTCCCCCCTGTTTTCTTCTTTGGCAGGGGAGATAACCCAGCCGCATACAAACACTTTAACCTTTCTGGCAGCTGAAATTTAAGTCTAAACCTGTTCAGGATAAGCTCAAAAGATCCTCCTCTGGTTGTTTTACTTACTAAAAGCCTTTAACCAAATATTGTTTGTTTGCACAGGGAATTCACATCAATTTCAGGCCGCTCACAGACAGAGTACATTCAAAAAGTGCAATTCCTTATCTGTGAGGTAAGTTATAACAAATCCAGTCACTGAAACACAACAGCTAAAAAAACATCTCTTTTATCTTGTGTTCTTTCGCCATGTTTCCCTGATTTTCTCAAGTTTGGAGAGATAACTACCATCAAGCCCTGACCTAGTTCCTGTGAAGCATGGTGGGAGGAGATAAACACTGATACAGGACGGTTTCTCCAGTGCCCTGTTTGATTTCAGGTGAACAGAAGGATATACTGTATGGGATGTTAGAAGAGCTGTTTTCCTCTGATTGGTTCAAGAGGACAGGACCGAAGAGAAAATAAAATATGGTGAAGGAAATGCGATTTTACAGCTGCTAAAGTCCAGTGATTCATCTTTTACCCATAAGGGTTTTTCTTTCTCTTTTGATTGTTGACAATGATTCAAGACGAGTTTGAGGCACCAGTCCAGCTATGACTCAGTACAGACCAAAGTCCATTTATCTTTTTGTCAAATCACTCGTCACTGCTAAAGCCAAATATTCAAAGTCATTGGCCTTGGTATGAAGAGCCTCTAGAAGACAAAAGGTGTCAAACATAAGGGCAAGGTTATGCACACCCAAGAAAAATATTCAAATTATTTCTTGTTGTGTCAGAAGAAGTGAGAGGTTGATAGGACAAAGTTAATGTGATGCTGTAATCACTGTCGACCACCTGAAGGTTTTTTTTTAGTTGCTGTTGTTTTGCTTTTGCAAGGTTAAAGTAAAACCTTGATCCCTGGAACAGCAGAAAAAATGGTAAATAGTCTTCTGACTCCTCAAAGCACTTTTACACTGAGGTCTCACCTACCTATTCACTCCCAGTCACACGCTGATGGCAGAGGTTGCGATGTAAAGTAATCTCATTCATACGCCGTCAACAAAGCAGCGGGAGCAACCTGGGGTTTAAGTGTCTTGCCCAAGGACACATCGGATGTGTGACTGCAGGAGCTGGGAATCTAACCCCCAACCTGAGAGACGACCAACTCTACCAACTGAGTCCCAGCTGAAAACAATCTAACCAAATATTCCATTGAGCTGCTGACATGCTAACAGTGGATGAAAAAAAGCTGTGAGCATTACATTTAAAGGTGACATAGGAGAGAATGTACTTTCAGATCTCAAAAATGTCATTTGAATTTTCTCCTACCATTACAATTATGCAAAAGTCTACTTATTAAGATGGGGAAACAACTAGCGCAAATAAAAAAAACAACGCTTAGTCCCATTAGCATCTCTTAAGCCCAATAACTGATTTTGTACAGTCATAGTTTGAATACAAAGGATCAGGTTTAGGCAGCTACAGTGACCATATTAGACTGTTTACCCTTGTTTCCACTCTTGCTAACCATCACCTGGTTATAGCTCATTCTTTTTATTTGTGGAACTGTTTAACATTTTGGAAATTCCCTTTTTAGCTGTCTTGAGAGCAGGATGAGACGATTGATACCATTCTCACATTTGCTAAATGCTACACTTAGGCCAGTCAATAACATTTTCTGTTCATTAAAAATAACATAAATGGCTAACCAAGTTGACATTATAGCTAGCAACATTGGCTTTTGTGGACTGCTTCTCCTAGTTCCAATCTTTATGCTAAGCTAAATTAAAGCCAACACCACTTAGCTTTACCTTCAATATTTATGGAATTGAATTTGTGGAATAAGCAACAGCAAGGACATGATTAGCTTAGCTTAGCTTAAAGACTGTAAGCTTGGGAAAGCAACTCTGGCTTTATCTAAAGGTTAAAAAAAAAATGTGATTACCACTTCTTAAGCGCACTAATTTAAATCATAACTTGTAAAGTGTAGAGTTGTGGTTCATCAGAGGTTTAATCTAAATATAAATGTGTGCAGAACTAACCTGTAAGCTGGCTGTTTTTATTGAATAGATAAACCTGTTCTTTTATTGTATCTTTTAGAAACTGTCTTTATTATGAGTCACAGTTTTATTCAGGTCCTTTTAAGAAGCTGTGTTTGGAGAGTGGGGGGCAACAGTAGAGTGACTGACGAAGTTGGAAGGCATTTATGAGGCACCACCAACCAATCATGACTTTCACAAAGTCCTAGGGGCTCTATTTTGCATTTCACCTGTCACATTGTCACTTGTGTCACAGTGTTAGCTTTTCCTGTCAACTTAAGAGCAGAAAAATACCTCCAGTCCAGCGTTACTCAATGATTTTCAATTTTTATGAAAAGAAAAGTATCTGAAAAAACCTACCTACATCATTAATACATACAAAAACAATTTTTTGCAGGTTAATGAGTTATTACTCCTATTTTGCTGTTAAAGAAGAATTCCAGGTACTTGTACTGTGAAACTTCAAGAACAAAGGAGCTAAATAAGGCCACCACCAACATTCATGCTCTACTTAATGCACTGTTGATTTCTGTATCTGACCCCTTCAAGGATCAACTTACTCGTGTGTCTGTAAACACCTAAACTGGTTCTTCAGTTGTGTGTCATCCTTGCAGAGTAATTATGTGTATCTGTGAAGAAATAAAAAAACAGGCCTGTCCCTGCACTGTTAAAAGCAAAACAAAAATGTCTTTGTGTGTGTATAAATTGAACATATTCCGTGTAAATGTCGGATTAGGCTCAGAATTAGGGACTCATTTTCAATGTTTTAATTGTATATATTTTTTTCCCTGTCCTGAGCTATAGAACTAAGTTTTCTTATGGGGAAAGCAAGTGTTGAGGGGTGATCCCGCTCTAATCACATCCCAGTCATATGATCAACATAGTGACTGTGAGGAGGCAGGTCAGGTTAAGCTGAGTCAAGCTGTACAACAGGTTGCAAGGTTCAAACAGGAAGTCAGGGATGTTAAAGTCTAATATTGTATCTTGTTGAATTATAAATGCTAATGAAAGTAAATCTTGAATCAAGTTACTTTGCGAGTATTAAAGACAATCATCAATAGAACTGAATGTGATCCCTTTCCTCTGAATAGTTGTTGTTTAAGAGCATGTGTGTCTCAGACTTTTGTATGTAGGAGTATTCAGTGGTTAATGTATTGAGAGTTTTTATTTTTATGTAGCCTACATTTCAAAAGACAAAAAAATTACTGCGTGTTTCAAATATATTTTCTTTGATGTTTTTTAATCATCTAGTGACCCTTTGCTGGGTCCTGACCAAGTGGCAACCTCCGGTGTTGAAAAATGAGTGCTTAAAACCCGCCTCAGCTCCGGCTCTTAGCCTGTTGTCAGGTTGATTGAAAGTTAGGTTGAGACAGGACTTCCAGTATGGCGGCTGCTGTAACAGATAAGTCACGTCACTCAGGCTTCGTCCATTAATATTTACACTCTATGGTTCTGATCCACAGGAATCAGAATCTGTATTAGGTCTATTGCATTTTTAAATTTGCATGGGTATTAAATTATCTAAAGGTGACAGCTAACATAGATAAAAGAAAAACGAATACTGTTAATCTTAAACATGAAAGAAATCTAAAATGTAACGTTTAAAATATACCTATCTATTTTAGAGATCCCCAGGTACATCAGCAAAACACTGATTTAGGAAAGTAAGACAAAACAGTGTGCACCAGCTTTGCTCATATCCAAGTATTGTACTTTGAATCAGTCTTGCTTTGTTTTGGCCCAGTGGTCACTTGTGGTCGGCTAAGTCAGTAAAAAGTCTGCACACCAAAAAGCATTTTACCTTTAGACTATCATTAAAGAAGAAAAGTCAGGTAGACTATCAACAGGACATATCTAAATGCAAATAGAAGTTTTTATTAAACCAGAAAAACCGGCTATATGTAAAAATCATGATGTGACATCATTGCTGGTTTTATTTATTGAATAAAAGTTACTTTCAATCATTATCAGGAGAAAACAAACGCTTTTTAGCAGTAACATGACAATTAACTTGTGTTTGAAGCATCAAAAGACAAATAGAAGAAGGACTGTTGTTTATTCCGACTTTTTTTTTTTAACAATATTGAGTTCTTTGATTTTACTTTGAAAGTAGTGACAGGAAGCAGATGTTTGTCATTGTGTAACCTTGACAACTGTCTCCTAGTCTCCCACAGTAACTACCCATCAGCAGTCGGCTGTTCAAACAGGAGACATGGGACTGTGGAGTCACCGAGGGGGGGGAACTCTTCTCAACGATTCACCACAACTTTTCAAACCGCAGACACAAAGTCACATCAAGCTGAAGGCGTTGGAAAAGCCTTTTATTTTCCATCTGTTTTATTAATTTTTTTTTGCTCAGTAAAGGACCGGAAGTGAACAACTTAAATGACAGCTGAAGTTATCCGTGCCTTTTTGATACCTAGGGCAAAGTGCCACACCTTCGCTTAGCGCAACAGGTAAGTTGAAACAACATTTGGTTACTGTTTCTTGTCTTTGTTCTTTGATAACATGAAAAACACGGTTTAAAACTGTAATTAAGTAGCGCTTTGAGTGTTTTTGGTTGCAGTAGCCTATTAAAATAAGATAGAGCAGCTTCGACGGTCATCCACTACAACAGGTGAGTGGTGATGTCAGCCATATGGCGGCTACCCGCTTTGAAAAACAAACCATTTTTTAAATAAAACTTTATACAACACAAACTTAAAATAATTCACAATAAAGCCTAGTGAAGTTTGAGGATGAATATTTTCGTAGTTGCACTAATAATATCCTGAATTTAACTTTATATGAAAAGGTGTCGGCTACATGTTATAATATGAGCAGCCCTATATGTAGCCTATAGCAGCTGTTACACGGAGACATGAGTGAACACCTGTTACACCTGCTGCACTGCATCGGCTATTAAAGGTTACTTTTCATATGAAGAGCCTTCACAGGACTTTGCAGAGCTGTAAACATGAAAACACAAGAGGCATCGTTATATTTACAAAATGATGTTGTTATATAAGGTTGTTATTACGTCAGATGATCCGAAAGTGTTTACATTTATTTTTGCATCTTTCATACTTCCTGGTGAGGGAATACAGTGTGATCATTTTTATTGTAAAACAAAAACAAAAAAGAAAATGGGAAAAATAGCATAGGCTAGATATTAAGAGTTTTAAATTACTCACACTGTAAATTATTGTGAACCAAAATGTCCTGTCATAATTTAATTGAACTAATGGTGTGTACAGCACAAAGAAAGTAAACAAATCTTCGCATTTAAAAAGCTCTTACAAGGCTCTTTTTTTTTTTTTTATAGCATAGAAGTGACTCTAAATATTAACATTTCATCCGAAAAGTTGTCATATAATTTTCAGCTGGTCTTCTGTCATAAATTATAAGTTGTTCAAGCCTGTTCAGACTTAATTCATGACAAAGTTTATTCTGCTTATTAAGTGTTTGTTTCTGTTATAAAAAACAGAATTGAACCTCGTTATTAAATGTTGTAGATTGTCAAACAAAGTGTTTACACCATGCAGGACTGGAATTAAAAAAAAAAAACATTTCCTCCATTCCCTGAACACATCACGTGTGCAGGTGAAGTTAATAAGTGAGCAGATGGGCTGATATTGGGGGCATTTGTTCTTTGTTGGGATGAAGAGCAGGAGGAGTGGTCTTGAATCAGTTAGGCAGAACTCATGTTCACGGCCTTGAGCTATGTTTGCACATCTAACATGTAGACTCAGTGAACACTTGTGTTCTCCAAAACTTTATCCCTGAGCTTAAACCCGTCATGTCTATCATGTTAACGTCAGCCATCATACATCAATGTGTCTCTTAAACCTCCATGAAGGATTTCTGACCTGTTTTCTTTTAGCTGCAGGTGGGTGAGGTTCGCAGTCATCATCAGGGCAGTTTACATACACAGGACAGGATGCTAAGGAGCGCTTTGTTTTTACTTTAAAGGCAGACTCCGCCCATTTTCCAGCCTATGAGAAAACACAATCATTTTAAATGTATGCAAATCATATTTGCTGTGGGTCCAGTTTGCTCTGCAGCCAGTCTGCATGACTCAAACAGGATGTGAACAAGAGAACTCCAGCAAACAAATGCTGCTGTTGACATTCATATTTGTTTTATTTGCTCATTTCATATGAGTCAAACCCCATTACACACAACATGAAATATTTTCTCATAATAAGTACACACTGTCCGTGAACAAAGAGAAGCAGGAAGAAGAAAACCTATAATACCTGCCCCTTTCTTAATGACATGATACACAATCAGATGGCTAACCCGGTGTTTTCTCGTTCTTTCACAACAAATCAACAAAAGCTACAGAAACAATCAAATACAATCATTTACTGAATAAATTAATAATTTCCTATAACTTTTGCACATTCATTGTAATGCAGTGCGTGTGAATTGACTTTTTAAATTAAGTTTGATCGCTCTTTTCTGTAACACATGCAAAGGTTTAGTCTTAGTCATTCAGTATACGTGTTGCCCTTTACTTCGGTGCAATAACTTCAACATGGAAGAGTAAGTGAACAATACAAAATCTGGAGAGAAGCAGAATCCAAACTGTCCTTTGCATTGTTCAAAACACCAACACATTTACAATCTTTATACAGTGGGGTTTCCAGATCAGTTTTTCATCAATTATGACTCCCAGAAATGTAGCTTCATGTATTTCATTGGAACACCGTTTACAACCATATACTGATGCGTTCATCCTTTTTTCTATCATTAATGGACTTGGAAATAGATTTTGCAAAGTAAAGGATGTGATGTTGTGTAGCAGCGGATAAATTCTGATCCTTTACATACCATAACGTTTAAGAGAAGTGTAGTACGGCATAAAGCAGACTGGGATACAGGGGAAAATAAGTAATTATGTCGTAATACATTCATGTCTAGTTTACATCAGGACGATCTCAGACCTGGACTTTTCCTTCTAGATTTATTTTTTAGACTTTCCCGACTTTAGTGAACAGCTTTGTTTCTTTTAAGTGTTGTTATTTTTGAACATTCATTTTGTATAGAAAACAAAGGAATGCTATATTTTTGATAATTTGACTTGTAAATTAGTCAATTTGATATTTTTGTCAAGGTCTCTTAGTCCCACTTTCACAAAATTATGTGTAAAGATTTCAACAGAACTGTAGCCACCACATAATGTATCAGGCTGTTTTTTTTTTTTTTTTTTTTTTTATTTTTTAATCTGTAAAACAATAGATTCATCCATAGAAATTAATAGTTTAAGGACTGAACAGTTTGGACAATCAAAATAATCATAAGTCATATAACAAGCTTAAATACCAAACTGTGTCTCTCTACGTGTTTAATGTCCATATTTGAAGATTTGTCTGATTAAGAACAAGATGAAGACGTAGTTTACCCCTTTTATTCACCACTACAGCTCCGTCTCTTCATCATCTAAAGTGCACTATTCTGGCTCTTGTTTACCTGCTAAAGTGCGATTCAGAGCTCGTGGGTCAGGAGGATCATGGGAGGAAAACAGCAGCAGGTCTGTTTGCTCTGTGAGCGAGGAGGGGAGTGTATTGATAGTGCGGGCTGCTGGGTAAAAAGAGAGGAAACAGGGCTTGTTTATATCAGACTGTAACCCAAGGCCATCTAAGAGGAGTGTTTGGACACAACACATCATATTAATATGCACACAAACAGACACACACACGCACAGACTCACACTCACACACACACACACACACACACACACACACCATGTCCCACTGGATACTGGATAATATCATCTGATGTTTTAATTGGACTAAGTGGTCAATAAAAGTAAAAAATAGAATGAAACCCCCAGAAAAAAGGAAATTCCATTTTATTTATTGGTTGCCATTACAAATCACCAAATCAGAACTGGGTTCTTTCTGAAATCACACACACACTAACTCCCTACCTCCTAGATTGGGAGTTCTCTATAGGGGGAGATATAGTGCACTAATCGACCAGTAAAAAAACATTTTGGACACTATGTTGGCCACCAATAATGGACGACAACAGACCTGTTAGCCCACACACACACACACACACACACACACACACACACACACACACACACACACACACACACACACACACACACACTGGTTGCTAGGGTATAAATGACTTTATATTGCAACACATGGCTTACATAAACCAACTTGTATTACACTCTGTTAGATGACCGAGCTACGTTGCACCAAGAGGGTTTCATCTGTAAAAGAGCCGACTCCTTTGTTAAAAAGTTGACTGTATATCATACAGAGAAACATTCATACCTACACCTTAGGCAACAGCTCTCTGAATGTGCATTCAATGACTGTCAGAACATAATATAAGACAGATTTTTGTGAACCATCACGAGCCTCTACCATTACTCAAGCTATTTGTTTTTGTCTGTGAAGATCATCTACCTGTATTTAGTTTTATAACGTTGGTATGTACAATGTTTAGACCAGCAACTCAAACCCTCAGTTGATACAGAAATGGTTGGATAGATTTCAATCATACAAGGACATAACAAGAACAACTGGTGTCAGATGTGTGACAAATAGGGAAGATTGTGTTAAGAAGGTGTTGATGTTTTTTTGTGTCTTGAGGTGGTATGAAAGTAGCAGAGCGAATAACAAGATAAACTTTCTCTTTTCTATTTTTTTATATTACAGGTGCTCTGTCAGTTTTTTTTTATTTGAATGTAAAAGATTTTATTGGTTTACATTCTGTGTTTTGCACTAAAGGGCTTTTTTTCTATCCTTCTACGGTTAGTACTTGAACGGTAGATTTTGGTGTTACTGTTTTCTTCTTTGCTGCCTTTGTAAGCTAATTTCTTTGCATCTTGCATGTTAATGCCACATGTAATTCTGAGGACAATTGTGAAAGTATTAGCAGTAATGTCTATTAGGCCAACAGTAAACCCACACATAGCACTTGTGAATAGGTATTGAAACAACTACAGGGTACCTTTACGTCTACATCTCCTCAGTACCAAACAAAGTGTGATTTGGATTTATATGTTGAGCAGTACTGCTTGTGACTTCTCACTGAGGAAGTCCAGCAACCAATAACATCAGGAGTGGTTGAGGCCCAGTCGGTCCAGTTTTAAGATCTGCTGCTGTGGTATGACGGTATTAAATGCTGAGCTGACTATGAACAGCATTCTCACTTTGGTGTCTAGGTGGGTGAGCGCTGGGTGGAGAGAGAACATCTTCAGTGGACCGGTTGGCTCGGTTTGCAAACTGGAAGGGGTCTAGGGTTGTGGGGAGGATGGATTTGGATTTGACTAGCCTTACAAAGCACTTATTGAGGATCGGGGTTAGTGTGACAAGGGAATAGTCATTTAAGAAGGATGTAGAGGACTTCTTTGGCACAGGTATAATGCTAGTGGCTTTAAAGCATGAAGACCAACAGCTTGTCTCATTTAGATGTTAAAGATGTCAAGGAAGACATCTTTCATCTCCTA